TCTGGAAATGAAATGGGAGCATGCAGACAGAGTATATTATCCTTTACAGAGAGCTCTGTCACTGTGCATTTGGAATGTCCTTGATCTAAAAATACTGTGTATTATCTTGATATGGCTGGAGCCAGTGACAAACATGTACATGATGTGTTGCTGTGGCCCTTGAGATGAATAAAATGCTCTTTTAAATGTTACTGTGGGCTGACTTTCTGAAGAAGTGAACATGGTGGAAAGCCTGCCATTTGTAACCTGATCCATTTGTCTGGTCCATGTAAGACTATGATTTCTGTAAAATCTGTTGTTATGTATCATAGTCATTTAATACATATTCATTATAAAGTGTTATTCAAAGTCTTTGTTCCGAGTTGTCAGGACTCCTGTCTGTGTGTTTTTGCTTCTGTGTTTGTCTCCCTTCCTCCACCAGGAGGCGTCTGGTTCCGGTCCACCTCCTCACACACCTGATGGTTTCCTCATTAACGGAGTGTTCTTAAGCTGCTGATTGCCACTACCTTGACGCCAGAGTGTTTGCCAGTTTTGGCTACTCTAGCCAAGCTGAGTTTTGTTGAATCAAAGTTCCTGTCAACTTGAGTTTTAACTTTGTTTTTGCCTTTGCCTCTCGGCAGGAAGTCATCCTGCAAACTGGATATTTCTGACCTTTTCTCCCTGGAAGGATCAACAGAGCTTCAAGCTGAGCTGGGGTTACAAACAGGAGGTTTGGACCCACTTTCCCCAAGAGATCGTTTGAGCTTCACACTGAGAAAGGGATTCATCTCCACTATGACCTGTTCAAGTACCGCAGGAAATCTGAGTGGCAAGTCAGCTTCTCCGTTCAACTACAAACAACCGCATTCTGGGTAAACCCTGTTCCACCCTCTACTGAATCAGACAAACACTGGAACAACAGCATACAGACTGGAGTCAAAGATTCAACAACTTCTCTGGAAATGTGAGTCAGCAACCAGATCCTCTTCTTCAAGTTCAAAAATCAAATTTCCCACTGAGCCTGAACTAATCGCTGTGTTTTCCCCTCACTTTTCAGTTCCGGTTGAGCAGTGTTCAGAGCAACACTTCTCTCTGCATTATCTCTTCAATAAAACACGTTAAACCTTTTCTCCTGATCTCCCTGTTTGGTCTTCAGCATTTGGGTCTGAACTTTAAGTAAAATCATGACACGAGTGATGTCTTCTAAGGAAGCAATCAGGGAGAGAAAGCTTAAAGATGCAAACACATAACTTTCCATTACACACTGCAAACTGATTTAAGTATTTTTTGTATTTTAACTAAATTATGCTAAAAAAAAAAAAAAAAAAAAAAAAAAAAAAAAAAAAACTTTTTTTTTTTTTTTTTTTTTGTGCAAACTCCATGACTTCTCAAACTGCTTATCCAAAATGGTTTGCTACCAGATTCCAAAACACAGAGGGAGAATGTTTAATGTTTTGATATGCATTTTTGGAAGTTTCTTTCAGTAGTCCTAACCCTGGATTTTGCAGGTCAAGCTTCTCTCTTGACTGAGAATTACGTAATATTGCTTTAAATATTACTCTATAAATGAGCATTCAAACTGTCTAACAGTGAAACCTAGCTGATTGAGAATTTCACGATTCAGTTTGTGCAAAGTAAATTTGGCTAAGTATGCTTTAGTAA